GGACCCATACTTATCCAAACATGGATTAATAGGTTCTACACATGACTATGAGGACAAACATGAGTGAAACGGTCTCAATCCAAGGGAGGAACATCAAATGGACCTAATTTGGGAACCGGAAGAGGTAAGGAGTCCGAAATGTACCTCTGTGACTCCACATTGTGGAAACTCACTTGTAGTGTATAAGATGAACTAGATGGACCCATACTTATCCAAACATGGATTAATAGGTTCTACACATGACTATGAGGACAAACATGAGTGAAACGGTCTCAATCCAAGGGAGGAACATCAAATGGACCTAATTTGGGAACCGGAAGAGGTAAGGAGTCCGAAATGTACCTCTGTGACTCCACATTGTGGAAACTCACTTGTAGTGTATAAGATGAACTAGATGGACCCATACTTATCCAAACATGGATTAATAGGTTCTACACATGACTATGAGGACAAACATGAGTGAAACGGTCTCAATCCAAGGGAGGAACATCAAATGGACCTAATTTGGGAACCGGAAGAGGTAAGGAGTCCGAAATGTACCTCTGTGACTCCACATTGTGGAAACTCACTTGTAGTGTATAAGATGAACTAGATGGACCCATACTTATCCCAAACATGGATTAATAGGTTCTACACATGACTATGAGGACAAACATGAGTGAAACGGTCTCAATCCAAGGGAGGAACATCAAATGGACCTAATTTGGGAACCGGAAGAGGTAAGGAGTCCGAAATGTACCTCTGTGACTCCACATTGTGGAAACTCACTTGTAGTGTATAAGATGAACTAGATGGACCCATACTTATCCAAACATGGATTAATAGGTTCTACACATGACTATGAGGACAAACATGAGTGAAACGGTCTCAATCCAAGGGAGGAACATCAAATGGACCTAATTTGGGAACCGGAAGAGGTAAGGAGTCCGAAATGTACCTCTGTGACTCCACATTGTGGAAACTCACTTGTAGTGTATAAGATGAACTAGATGGACCCATACTTATCCAAACATGGATTAATAGGTTCTACACATGACTATGAGGACAAACATGAGTGAAACGGTCTCAATCCAAGGGAGGAACATCAAATGGACCTAATTTGGGAACCGGAAGAGGTAAGGAGTCCGAAATGTACCTCTGTGACTCCACATTGTGGAAACTCACTTGTAGTGTATAAGATGAACTAGATGG